TCTGATTGACTTGCCCCTAATGTATACTTCTACCACAGCCTCTCCCACCCATGAATTTTAATACTTGCACCAACTAGTTATAATCCGCCTTCCACTGTTTCCCCTATTATCCTTGGTGATGTCTTCTTGTCACAAATAGCACCTCTGCACTCGTTAATTGTAGCCACCACGACTACTGTTTCTGACATGTTGACTTGAAGTGGATACGTTTTGTAGTTGTAATACGTATATTCTAAGATTTTGCTGTTGAGCTACACTAAGCATCCGTAGCCGTGCACTGAATCATACAATCTGCACCAGGAGCGCGTTTTCCTTGTAATTTAGCTCGAGCACCATCTTATGTTGACTGTTTGGTTGCACGACAGGTGTTTTTGTCGATTTCGCGGATTTTAAGAACCAAACATTGCTATATTTCACTTAGCTCATAATAGCGAGTTATCCTCCACAGTGCAAAATTTATGAGGCCTATCTCGAGGCTATCAGTAGTGTATTTCAGCTCTTTAAATATAAATATATATCAATATTTGGAAACCCCTAAGGAATTGTTCTAAATCATTTACTTATTTCAGGTGTTATGGTTGGTAGGGCCTTGTTGAAATACCCACATATTTTTACTCCAAATTATATCGAGGATGAAAACTCACTTCGCTATTTATATGAAGATTGGTTACTTTTATCTACACAATATACAGGAGGCACAAGTTTTGTAACTGTTCATCAACAAGCATATTGGATGATGGAACCATTTCTGGACAAAACAAATAGATTAATTTTGCATAGTATTGGAAGTTTCCAAGGTTTAGTCGATTGGCTTTTTAAATATTTCAAGACAGAAAACAGTTGATTTGTATATTTTCTTTGTACAGTAAAGCATTTTCCACCTTAATTGTCAACCTATTTTCTTACAATTATTCTCAGAGTAAATACAGCTGTTTCTAGATGACGAGTTTAGGTGAATGATAGTGATTAAAGTTATTTTATTCAATGACCATGGTGGAATACTTTCTTCCCATATAGTTAGTGGAAGACCACATGCAACAAAATTCGTATGAATGAGATCATTTATATTACTAAACTATTTACAGGCGATTTGTTACATATATTTAATCGTTGCATTCTTAATTTCATATTATCAATTCTTTTGTACATGAATCATACTAATGGCAACAGAGAAATCCTCTCAACAACACAGTCGGTATAGAGAAATATAAAATCGACTGACCCACTATCTCGTAGTTTAGACAATAATCTACAGAAGCTAACAAACTCGAGTCGGAAAATTAATTCACGGCCTGGGACAACTTTTAATCCTTACCACATTCCAAGCGACAAGTATTCCTTTATCTGCATCCAATATCGGATGTGAAACGTCTAAACATTCCCCCACCTATTTCAGTCGCCTCATGTTAAAAGAATCACTATATACTTTGCCCCATTTGCTCAAAACACCAAAACAACACTAGAATGGGACAACTATCTGCTCATCTTCTTTATGCTGTTAACTATAAAATACCCCAACGCTGCAATGCGTACCACTTGGCAACAGAATACTGGACATTCTAACAACCGACTATGCTGATAACTCGTTAGTTGATCACACTGAGCCTCAAATGATGTTAGTCAATATTACAATATAGTCAAAGCAGAGTTGTTGAATAAAAAACTGATGTAGATGCCAAACAAAAAATACATCGGAACGCTACTTGTTTATCGTACCTAACCAGCTGCTATTATATAACGTACAAATCTGATAACACTGACTGCTATCTATTTTCTACAAAATGTACCCTGACAACTGATAATGGGTTCATACAACCATTCGAACGACATCCATCGCAAATGAAAATATTAGGAACTGCAAATGAATGTATTATTTGATATGTAGTGCGACTTTTGAAAGTCAAATAATAAGACCTAAACGGATTTTATCTCTGTAAAACTAAAGCTTCTATGGGTTTTTGTCTTGTTTGTAGGTTTAGACTACCTGGTTGGGGACCGCGAGATGATAGGAACCGATGGTTAGAGACCCTGAATGACATGGCTCAAAATCGTTTGCAATGGCGCAGGTGCATCCACTCTTTGTGCTCTCCCAAATTCTAATCTTCTGAATTCTCTATGTCCCTTTTTTCCTCTTTCCAAATTTCTTTCACTGGATTATACTCTTTAAATAACATCTCCAAACCCTAATCTTCCCGATTACTGCTTATACTCTTACTACCTCTACCACTACGGGATTTGAATCGACAAGTGCATCTCTGTGCTAATGTGGTGTGGCAACTCGAACTGATGTACGTACGTACGAAGTCCTACGTTGTTACTGACTGTCTCGTTGAATTGACAAGTAGAGACCAACAAGTTCACCCGCTTCATAATGAAACGGATCCTACAATCCTGCAACACTAATTATCTACTTTACGTACACCCAGTAATTATTGGATCTTCCCACCAAGATACAAAAAACCAGCAAACAATCAACTTACAAGTTCCAGTGTGATCAATAGTTTCCACCGCTAAAACTTCGGGATTAAGAAATCTTAACAGACTAATCGGTCATAAAGTAGCCAGTCTATACTCTCAGAATTCTATGTATGACTTCTGGAATCTTTCTAAATGATTGGTCACTATGAGTATACTTAGTCCCTAGATCTTTCTAAAACTCTTGTTGGATTTCAAGCGTAAATTAGCTCGTATCTTTAAACGTATAAAAGTTGTCACGAATTTTCCGAATTAAATCTCAGAATCAACAATAGCATATTGCTTCACTCAAAAGTTTTGCACAGCTAACGTGTTTCACCTGGATAGTATCGAAATGGCTATTCCGTGAGTCATAGGATGGTTTAATGTTAACTATGACTTGTCTTTCCAAGCTTAATAGCCTAGTGTACCACGTCGACTACCACTCAAACGTTTTTATTAGGACTTATCAGGTTGAAAAGTTCGCGAGTTCCATTAGACGAACTTAATGAATCGACTACCTTTACATCAAATACTTCCCAAACCAAAGCAGGCGGTTTTCTTAGGGGACACACACCCCCTAGCCTTTGATCTGGAGGTCTAATTCTCAAGGCAGTGGAACAACGCTAGGAGATGCCGTCCCGCGGTAGCCGGTTTGGGCACCCGGGCAGCACCACAGCCCTCACACATATCAAATGAGACCTGCGTGGCGCATATGTACTTGGTGCCTCCTTGTACCAATATCTATGTGTTAAAATAAATAAATAAGCCAGTGACCAGTCAGTCAGTAACAACGTAGAAATTCTTACGTACGTACGTCAGTTCGAGTTGCCATGCGACATTGGCACAGAGATGCAGTTGTCGATTCAAATCCCGTAGTGGTAGAGGTAGTAAGAGTATAAGCAGTAATCGGAAACATTAGGGTTTGAAGATGTTATTCAAGGAGTATAATCCAGTGAAATAGATTTGGAAAGAGAAAAAAAGGACATGAAGAATCCAGATTAGAATTTGGGAGAGCACAAAGAGTGGATGCACCTGCGCCATTGCAAACGATTTTGAGCCATGGCATTCAAGGTCTCTAACCATCGGTTGCGATCGTCTCGCGGATCCCAACCACGTAGTCTACACCTATCAACATGACTCAGTCCACTTGTCAGTGACTTCATGGATTTGTGTCGCGTTTTGGTCTGGCCGCTCCTAGCTTTCTTCCAACCTACTATACCATTGAACACCGCACGTCGAGGCAGTCGGTCGTTGGGCATACGTAACACGTGTCCCAGCCATCTCAACTGATGAGGTTTCACTACTTCATCAATTGATTTGCCATCCTTACCTAGTACCCGTTTCCTAACAACTGTGTTACTTACTCGATGGTCCCATGATATACGAGCAATGTTTCAAAGACACCTATGATCGAATACTAGTAACCTGCGAATATTCTTTATTCTTACCGGCCATGTTTCACTGCCATAAAGTAGAACGGAGTGAACTGCTGCGCAGTAAATTCATCCTTTGGTTGGTAGACAGATATCTCGCCTACGCCATAAATGACGCAAGTTGGCAAAAGCTAATCGAGCCTTCTGTATCCATGCTGAGATTTCGTCACACACCAGACCACAAGGGCTGATGAGACTCCCAAGATAAGTGAAGCAGTCGACACGCTCAACTACTTCACTCCTTATCATTAGTTCACCTGTCGATGCAACCCAATCCTGAAGAAACCTTTTGCATCTCGAGGGCGAGAATCACATCCCAAACATGCTGGTGACCAACAATAGGTTTGTTCTCTCATGATCCTGGAGCTCATGTGCACTATTGTTTGGAATCAGGGTTTTCTGACTCCCCTAGGTGGACTCTCTGTGTCCACCAACGCGGCCAAAGGGCCGGAAGTTTGCTTTTCATCCTCTCAATTTAATAAGCAACCCCGCCGTGAGAAGGCAGTGAATAGGACATCCCTGGTAATGGCACTGTAAGAGCATTTTGAGAGGAAGAGCGGACTCTCCTCACCCTCGGCCGCACCAGAGCATCATCATTAGAGATATTTATTATGGGGTGAGTTTCTCGTCCCCTCTGCCTTTTCCAAGTTGGACAACTCCATATTGCCCCCATCCTATACACTGAAAGTGTGACTTGAAGCCAATAAGTCTTTGACAATGAGGGAACCAATTAAGTACCCGTCAAGAGGAGCAGGCTTTTTTGTCTCTGTACGATAATCACAATCTTCGGCAAAACACCTTAGGTAACAAGGCTCAAAATCAATTCCAATTGCCCAGATATATTTTTTGCTTTACTTTTTCTAGATTTTAGGTCCTAACATACTCCGTACATCTAACTATTTAATGCCATTCCAACTTCACTGTTTTTGATCTTGTTCACTTTTCACTCACTGTGACGTATTGTGGCAACTTGGGCAGATGCACATTTATTCAAGGTCCTAAGTTGAATATGACGGATTGATCTAATAGAAAACGACACATCTGTCTACCAAACAATTTTTAAAAACAAGTCTATATGCATATTACATGCGCTAGTAGAACTACACAGTTTTAGTCTTGCAGATCGACAAGACTTCCATCTTTATTGACAGTTTTTAATATTCCAGAATTTAATAAAACATTCCATTCCAACTGAGGATCGTAAGACCTAAAAATGAACAGTTAAAAAGAGGAAAAATACTGGTAGAATTTCCTGGCAGTTGCAATCTCTTTCTTATTATACATGTATACGACGACTCCCGTCACCGCAGTAGACACAATCGTTGCGATTCCCATAGCTCTAAAAGCCCTACCAACCCTGAAATTCCGCAATTTGGCTGGATCCATTTTGCTAAAATGAAGAAATGTAGGCAATCTGTATATATTTGGTGTCATCTTGTACCAATATTTATGTGTTCAAATAAATAAATAAATAGTAAATTCCCGAGAATCTGAAGGATGAAACAATGGTCAAACAGGAAGTTTTATTCAATATACTTCTGAAGCAAGGTTACCACAATTTTAGACAAGACTTTTAAAAGGATGATAAAGATCACCTATATACTGGTATCCACAAGAGGACTTTATTTGACATTGGTGTTTCGCGTGACTATTCCCAACTTTTATGTATTAGAAATAAATTACAAATTTTAACTGTTATATATGGTAAACCATTGGGGCCATTAACCTACATTTCAACGGAGCTGTAAGAATAAAAGCTTAATTGTTTGCAGAGGTTTCGAACTTAAACTTTGTAGGACATAAAGGGGTAACGAATGGTCCACTAACTTTGACAACATTTATAGAGATGCGACAAAAGGTTGAATCAGAAACCGAATCCCAGCAATACAGCTGCGTACATAAATTGGTTTGAGTAATGTATATTCTGCTTTAAAAAGACGAATTACGTCAACTGACACGTAAAATAACCACTAAATCATTGTATTCGATGATTACTGGGTCTTTAACTAGCGGGGGAAAGGAAACACAAAGTTTAGGTGGAGCAAAGTGTCCTATTGACTATTCATTTTCTCCTTCCAAACAACAAAAGTCGCACAAAGTAGTCAGATAAAAAATTACAGTCCTTAACTGTATTGCAAGAAAGAATTACGTAGTTCCTGAATTGTTCAAGTCATGAAGCAAAAGGAATTCGTTCAATATTGAACCGCCGATGACGTAAAAAAGTTAAACAGCTGACGTGAAAGCTGTTATACACTTTTTATTTGGATATTAGCGGTTCCATGTTTGTTTGGAGACAATCAACGAAGCCCACGACAGTCCATCCGGAGAGAGAATTTTAACCGTTCAAATGGTTGTGGACGGAATAGGAGCCGTCGCTTAACGGGCTTTCGTGTCTAATAGCAGTGGATTATCAATACCTCCAGGCAGGAACGTAAGTATATTATTGATAATGTAGGAAAAATAAATTGGTACCAGTTCGAAATATTGTAAATATGCCAGTCGATTATACTCGTAAGACTGCAATGGAAGTAGTCTAGAGTTAGGACGTAATAAGAAAAGAAATCTGGCAAGAATACCAGCGAATGTGAATGCAAGCAAACCAACCCCATTTTTTTACTGAGGAGCTTTCCCGCTCAAACAATGAGGCTAGTTCAAGGTCTTATAAAATATCTCAATAAAAAACAACAGAAGTTTCAGAACAAATTGTAGGACAGAAAGTAGAATTACTTACCCACTGTGAATGGGCAGCCAAATTTTTTAATTTATTTGATTGAAAATCCGATTGATATCAGAGCATAAGATTGTGAAATCGGGAAACAGGAATACTTTTCAAATATATGGAATAGTAATATACAGATACACTGAACTGGATAACCTTCAAACGTAGTAAAACGGCTTCCATAAGTTGTCAAACAATAGGTAGTTTCATTTTTGGCTGGTGAAGATATTTTCAGAGTTCTACGTCAGTTTACCGTAATTCGTACCGGACTGTATTATACAGCGTTTGTTAACCTATTTTAACATTCAGACAGATAAATCAACTAGGTCCCTCCAGGTATTCTGTCATTCGCGCACGTAAACTTTTTTCACGCATGAATTTTTGTGTGTATTTGATTTATGTGGGCCTTTCTTGCGTACTGTCCCAGTTACACACTTTTCCCTTTATATGGGAGCTGAATCACTCTATACACAATGATTTTTACAAAATTTCAATATCCGTATTCTATCTTCACTCACCATTCGTCTATTCTTAATATGTATTTATGAATTATACTCGTACTCAGTCTTACTTGTATTCAACTTATCATGTCTACATTGTGCTAACTCGACTAGTCGATAGAATGCACACTAAATTAAATATAAGATATATATTTCTTTAGCGTTATTCAAATGTTTTCGCCACTTAATTGAATTCAAACTCATGGAAACCAAAAGCCGCTTAGTCGATCAGGCTTTTGTTGAGCCTACGAAAGGAGCTGTTCAGAACTTTGAAACAAGGAGTCCATTACCTTAACGAAGTTATTTGAAAGCGGGGAGCATCTGATGAGAAGATGGTTTTAGTCCAGTGAAGTGTCACATACGTGTAGACTATTTGTGGTGTAACGTTTAGTAGCTGAATGCTCTATTCCGTAATTAAATCTAAAGTGAGTCCCATACATTATTACTCCTTATAACTTCGTAACATTGTCAGTCTAGAATACCTCTCTTATGACGACTCCCAAATATGTTAGGTCATAAGTAAGAAGTATTCTATTTCGAGCACTGATACAATAAAATAAGCATGTAGAATACCAATAGAACATACGGTGTGTATCCGTTTACTGTAAGATTAATGTAAAGTAATATTTCCCTTGTAGCGGTAAATAAATCCCCAAAATAAATAGCTCTGTAAGTCTTCGACATTGGATGCTGACCACATTAGTTTTAATGAACTAACCTAGCTGAAGGCGCTCGGTCATGCATCCGCACCAGATCACGAGTGGGAACGCCGTGCTCAACAACCCTTGCAATCTTCATCCTATAAAAACAAGGAAAACAATAACATCATGATATTATAATCGTACAACGAAGTACAGGGTTACAGGTTAGCTGACGGATTTGATTGTCAAATGAAGTTGTAGCGGTAAATAAATCCCCAAAATAAATAGCCCTAAGTTTTCGACATTGGATGCTGACCATATGTTTTAGTGGACTCATCTAGCTGAAGGCGCTCGGTCAGGCATCCGCACCAGATCACGTGTGGGAACGCCGTGCTCAACATCAACTGCAATCGCTAGCCAGATTAGATCAGAGACTTCCGATATATTGGTCATCGCCAAATATACTCTTCCGATCTCCTCGACTCTGTCTTTTGATTTCTCTGGGCGGGAACGAAATACATTAGAAGGTGTTACTGGTAGAAGCGTTGTCAAACACTGAATACCTGTGACATCATCAAAGTCTAAGCGGCGGTGAAATGTCATTGGATCCTGACCAGGTCATCCGACACTCAGCTCAACTGAATATCGAACAGTTTACTGATCTTTGTCAAAGTCAAGGATAGCCAACCTGCAACAATTTATAACATTTCATGGAATGGACTGTATGACGGCAGTTGCACTTTGTTTCTTGAAGCTATTCTTACTAAAGCATTTCTGCAATATCGTTGTTTTTTCTCTATACCGTCATCAAAGTAGCCGCGGTACCAGAATATGACAAAAGGGTAATCCATGTTACGTACTAATCTTGAGGTGTGAGTTTGGTGTAATCTAGAGGGTCATACCATCCCAGTCCAACTCAAGCGGGTCCCTAGTCCTTGACATGAATCACCTAAAGGTTAAACAACCATGAAGTCCATCGAACACTTTTCACTTGTTGTGTGAGTAAAGATTGTTCATTTAAGCAGTTCTCTAAAATAGCAACTTCACGTAAGCTCATTATTTTTAAGTTAATTCTGCTTTTTACCTGGTCTGTAAGACTATTATGACAGGCCGATATAGCTAGTCGCTGTATTACATATGTCCAACGAATCCTCGTGTAAATTTATGATATTTTATGGTAACATGAAGCCAAGCTTAATTCTTCTGAATAGGACATGTTTCCATACAAACAATCCATCGACTACGACAAGCTGTGAATATGAATAATTTACTAATAAATAGCAAGATGCACTACTTTTCGGTTTGTAATTTGCAAAAATCAGAAATACTTCTTAGACCATTGTTCTCTTGAGAAATTTATCAAGAACCGGATCTAAACGTAGAGGTGATATTTATGTAATGCATGAAAAAGCTACATTTTAGCCTTGAGGTTAGTACTACGAAGTCTCGAAACTTTACACAACTAGGTTAAAGGTAACATTTGGATGAGTTTGCAGCAACTTTTGTATAACGAAAACATCTGGATAATTTCAAAAGACATTCTTTATGCAGACAAATGTATTTTCTTAGCGTCAAATAGACCGATAAGAATGTGATTTATAACCTTCCGGAATATCACAGAAGAAACACAACCCGAAGTGTGCCAATTCATTTTGAAATATCTGCAGATAAGAATCGCTGAGATCAGTTCTTGAGAAATAATTTGATTCTCGTAATTTACAATACTGTTGAAATAGCTGAGCATTCAACATTACTCGATAGTCGGCATGAATTTTAGGTGTTTTTCTATTCCTAGATAGGATTCCATTAATGAATACACAATATCTCCTCTAGCTCTTTAAGAGTCACTTCCGGTTTCAAGCCCGGGTAAAGAAGGGGGTTGGGCATGGGATTGGCGAACCCATCCCGTAGAAAACTAACTCGATGAAAAAACGCTAACCAGAAAAAATAATTTGAACTATGCCTTCGAAGTTAGAAGGTATTCATTTAGAAGAACTATGACGCCTCATGGTGAAAGCCCAGTTCCTTCGGAATCCACGAGGCCGATGTCTCTTCTAACAACCAGAGCAACAATTTTCATAGGTGCATGGAATGTCCAGACAATGTGAGGGACCCGGAAGACAAGTCAGATAGCAATGGAAATGAACAGATACAACTTGGCGGTACTGAGAATCAGCGAAGTTCACTGGACCCAAGCTGGACAACAAAGGCTAAATACTGCTGCTGTACTCCGGTCACGAAGAGGACAATGCTCCACACACTCAGGGAGTCGCTCTTATGCTGTCCAAAGTAGCACGAAATGCACTTGTAGGATGCGAATCTCACGGATCCAGAATCATCAAAGCATCATTCAAAACAAAGAAGGAGGGGATCACAATGAATATTATCCAGTGTTATGCACCCACCAATGATAGTAATGACGATGACAAAGCTCAATTCTACGATAGGTTGCAATCAATCATGGAGAAGTGCCCATGAAAGGACCTCACCATTCTGATGGGAGACCTAAACGCCAAAGTCGGAATGGACAACACCGGATATGAAGATATCATGGGACGACATGGACTGACTGAGAGAGAGAAACGAAAATGGGGAAAGATTTGCAAATCTATGTGCATTCAACAAATTGGTCATAGGAGGCATAATATTTCCACACAAACGTATACACAAAGCTACATGGATCTCACCGGACCACACCACAGAGAACCAGGTAGACCATATTTGCATCAAGAAAAACGTCCGGAGGACATTGGAAGATGTGAGAACCAAGAGAGGAGCTGACACAGCTTCAGATCACCACCTAATTGTGACCAATTTAAAACTGAAGCTAAAGAAGAACTGGAAAATTGGACGACCAGCAGTACAAAGGTTCAATACTACCTTCCTTCGAGATACAAATAAAATTAAAAATTCAAGATAGCTCTCAAAAACAGGTTCCAAGCCTTACAGGATCTACTGAAGGAAGAAGAAACTACTATGGAGGACAAATGGGAAGGTATCAAAGAAGCATTAACTTCAATATGTCAAGAGGTTCTGGGCCTCAAGAAGCATCATCATAAGGAGTGGATCTCTATAGAAACACTGGACAGGATCAAAGAAAGGAAGAACAAGAAGACACCAAAGTCCATATAGGTCTGTTGTCCAGATCGTTGCTGTACTAGATATATCGGTAGTGAAAAAAGATGACACATAATAGAACCAAGCCACACAAGTTTTACAGAACGGGTAGGACCACAAACATAATGTAGTTCATGAATAAGCATTACCTGTCTAGGATAATATTAGCCCAGATGATCAGCATAACAAAGATGTGACGAAGATCATTTGTAACGCAAAGAATACGCTAAACATACCTCAAGGAGAATTTCATTAATTGATTTATTTATTGATTCTTTTTTTATAAATTATTCTAATTTACATCGAGGACTCTTTTCACCACAATTTAGGTTTTTTAAACTTCCGCGGTTAAAGATATATTATTTATTACTATATCTTACCAACTGGTGCCAAGATGAAGCTGAAGCTAAGAAAGCAATAAACAACTTGACAAAAAGCACTACAAAGGTTCAATACAACCTTCCTTCTACATACTAAAAAACTCAACAAATTCATGATAACTCTCAGCCACAGGTTCCAAGCTTTAAAAGATCCACTCAAAGGAGAAGCTTCAATGGACGATGCTTGGAAAGGGGTGAAAGAAACACTCACTTCGTCGTGTCGTGAGGTTCCAGGCCACAAGAAGCACCATC